GTTTTGTTTATAAATGAATGGTATTAACTGTGCAGTGTTTATCAAACTTACTTTTTCCTTTGTATTTGATATAAAAGAAGATAAAAAAGAAAAAGCACGTGCAAAAAGAGCTCCACTACCAAAGTTAGATGCAGAAAGGTATAAAGAGCATGCCTATTCTTTCTGATTTCTGAAAGCTGCCAATTTTCTGATCAATTATTTGAACAGATTGCTCGGGGAAAATGGATTTAGAAAGTTACTAATGAAAAGTCACGAATTGGTTATAGACAAACGTGAAGATCCGGTATCTATACTACTCATGATACTTTCATATTATCGTAACGTGTAGATTAAACCATGTTTCTTTTCAATTTTAGGAAAAAAATCTTAGGAATTTGATGACATTTTATCAAATATGGGCTCACGAGCTGTTCCCAAGTATGAAATTTCGTGATGTCATTGCTAAAACGGAAAAAATTTGCAGAGAGGATCGGCTCAAGGTAAAGTAACTCTATTAATTATAACACTCGTGGTGTGCGATATTAAGAAAAATGCTTACTAATTAATATTTAGGTGTATTTTCAAACCTTGCGTAAAGATAGGGCTGCGCCCAAGCCTTTTCTGAATGATGACATTATTATGTAGCCTAGGTTTGTAAATCTCGTATTTTCGGTACTAATTAATATTTAGGTTTATTTTCGAACCTTGCATAAAGATAGGGTTGCGACCAAGACTTTTTCTGAATAATGACATTGTTACGTAATCTAGGTTTGGAAATCTCTTATTTTCGGTCAATAGTATCAAATTCAAAGCCGGTCAAATTTATTCAATGTTATACATGAACCATTAAATTTTTTCGTTTCAATTAAATTAAGATCTTGAATAAATTAATGTCTAATAATTATATCGGAAATGTATACAAATGAAAATAATTATAAAATTAATGTTTTTCACATGCTCTTGACCAAATTTCCTTCGAATTTGAGAAGTGCTACAGTTCTTATAAAAGTAAAAACCCTTAATAAAAAAAATTGATTCACTTATTTGTCACCTACATTTAAACTTATGTATTCCTTATTAAACCTCTCATTTCTGATCATGCTTATAATTTTCATTTTTCCTAAAAGAATGTTTTCCGAATTCTAATAAGGAGTGCACAAGTTCTGCAAAAACCCGTTAGGATTCTAGGGGGTAGGTCCCAACGCCGAACCAGAAGATTTGGCTCGATTAAGAGTTAAGAATCGAAGAAGGATATTTCTTGCCGCATTGATGTCTCTGTCCTCCATCTCTATTTGACACTGAGGACACTTAAAAGTTTTGTTTGATCCGAGTTTATTGTGAAGGTATCCACAATTTCCGCAAGTCTTTGAAGTATAATGTTCATCACAAATTATAACTTTACACCATGGGTATTCCCTTGTCTTGTTAATTAAACGTTGCTTAAGACGATAATGAGACCATCCGAGCATTGCTCTTGCAGTCTTGCTTCTTATTCTTCTGTTTGCCCGTTTCACCATTCTCTGTGTCTCGAATTCAGGAAGTAATACTATATGATATTGTTCGACAATCTACTTAATAAATTTCTTGTGTACTTCATCAATAAGATTTCGAATCTTTTTTCTAATTCTTCTTGCTGCTCTCTTTAACTTGTAACGTTTTTTGTGTCGAACTTCTTTTTGTGACCACTTACATTGTAATTTATCAAGAGCATAACAGAGACGATAAATTCTTCCAATATCATTTTTTCCCCATTCAATAGTGAGTCCAGAAGGTGAGTAACCAGTTGAAAATGTTCTAACTCCTGGATCTAATGCAAGTATTCCTTCTTCAATCTTTGTCCATTTCGGGGCTTGGTTTTCACCTCTAATTTCAAGTGGCATAGGCAGACAAAGATAGAATTCACCTAATCTTGTTTTTTGAAGACGACAATCTATTAGGCAATAATTCCGCTCCCCGAAATAA